TCAGTGAGAGACACACAAAACTATTAGCTGAATTAGAAGCCATGGTGTGGAGTAAAAGATTTTGACCATTTGTGCAGCAGATACACAAACCTGTGACTATGCTAGCTGTTCCTTTCCAACCTTGCAGCATAGCGTAACATTGAGCTATTAAACATCAAATAACAGTTAAACAAAGTAAATCCCCAGTTGTATTTCAGCTGTCCTTTTCAAACTGACAAGTTCTTTGGTCTCTATAAAACTCTATTGTAATTAGCTGGAATCTCTAAGGAAGAGGTTTCAGAGAACAAAACTCATGAGGATGCATGAAACCACTCAAGACAGTCCCCTAAAAGACCCTATTTTTCCACAAGCCACACATTGGCTAGGTACAGATATTACACATAACCTGGTATAAGCAATTGGAAATAGAACTGAAGTTCAATGAACATAGCCTGGTTTCAGAATGGAAGAACCTGGTTTGAGAGACTTGGATGAAGGTAGTATATCAGATTTAATCAGTTTAGCTTAGATTGGTCTATTGAACTTCTGCTCCAGATCCTCTCCTGACTCAAGTTACATTGCAGTCTCCCAGCATCCCAGGATGCTTTGCGACCCTCCACTAACCCCCACCCTCTTCCGCCTTTGCAAGGTGGGCTAGTCTCTGCCAGTGTTTTGCTCTGGCTGAGCTGGGCCAGAGATACCCGCAGGTTGTCACAAAGCTGAGGCAGCAAAGCCTCTGCTCCCCAGTCTGTGTCCTGCCTACACCTGTCAGCTCAGTAGGGCAGCGGGGGTGAAGTAGGACAATGGAGTACCCTGCCCTGGCTCCAGGCTTCCCCCAAGCTGGGTTCTGCCCCCCTGGGGGAAGCCCAGTACAGCAGGGGTGCTCCCTGCCTGACTGGGCTTGGCTGGGTTGCCCAGTCTCGTCCACTGTGAGCCAGTGCCTCTGATGAGTGGCAGTGGAATGGAGCCTCCTGCCCAGGTTCCAGCTCCCTGGACCTTAGCTGGACAGACCTCAGTTCATCAAGGCTAGGATCAGGACAGGGAGCTCTGTTCCCCAACCTGTGGGTCAGAGACAGTGCTTCATGATGGGCAAAGCTGGCCAGACTGGCCCAGCCAGGCAAGACTGAAATCCCAGTGGTGTGGAGCTTCCCCCAGATAGGCAAACCCTAGATGTGGGGGATCCCAGGGCCAGGGCAGGAGGATCTGTTTCTTTCTCCCCCCAACTTTCAATCTGCTGGGGCTAGGGAGAGATTCTGTTCTGTCTCCCACCCTCCGAGGCTGACAGCCAAGCATTTTGGGTGTGTGCCATGCAGCCAGTTAGGTATGGCCTCCACTCGGTTGGACTCGGCTGCCCTCAGCAATGGCCAGCAGGCTGAGAGGAGTATGGGAATATCCCCCAACCTTCTGGCCTCGGGCAGTGCAAACATCTGCCTGCCTTTCCCAACCAAAAAGTTAGCATGAAATCCATTTGCTAATGGTCCAATCTATGCATCCAACAGAAACCTGTGAAGATTAGGTCAATTCCACCTCAGGCTTTTTGACTGCCTGTACTTAGCCATTATTTCCAAAACTCTCCAGTCATCACTATCTGCCTGTATCTCCACTTCCTTATGCTATAGCACAGATGTAGTACTGTTTGCTTCAGTGTCTGTGCATGAAGCCTTGCTCCAGGCTATTTGGTTTAGTTTCTTTTGTTGATAAAACACATTCTGTTAAGTGACTGGCTATGAACTCTGAATAAGAAGCCCAAGTAGATTAGCAAATATTTTGTAGCTATTACAAGGGAATTATGGAGCACCCCATTCAGAAAATAAGCATACACCATATAAATAGTACCCTCCTATAAATGACAGCTGCCTCTTCCCTTTCGTGTTTTTAAAGTGTTCAGTTTTAAATATTTCACTTTCTTTTAGAGTTGGATACCAATTTGCATTATGGACACCATTTGTATCATTTGCCTGTTGCTCATACACACAGACAATGTCTTTATCCATACTATGAATTTTTTACTCACTTTATTCATAATGTCTAGAGGGGGATTTAACAAGGGCCTGAATTACATCCAGGAAAGAATTAAAAACTAATTTAATTTTCTGCTACAATAATGGCCCTCGCAGTTTTATATTTTGTTGACTGCAATTCTTCCATCCATGCAAACACAGAGAAACCACTACCATTAACAACTAAGTCTTAAAAAAAACAAAAACCCACAGTCCCTAAGTAAGGACTATCAGTGCTAAAACCAAGGTAAAACTAATGTTCTTCATTTATTCATGTAGCTATTAAACAAAATAAGATTTTTTTTCCTAATCTGAGACAAGTAGCTACAGAATCACAAACAGTAAATTTAATGTCCCTTGAAGCATATGTGCTAAATTATGGCTGGGGGGGAGGGATACCAGTAGCCGGAGGGACGAGGCATCCTTTTAGCCGTAGGCACAGATCAATTGTCTGTCAGAGCCTGGATGGCTTATCAGGCTGACATAGCTACAGCTTTTGTCTGAGAATCAATGAGGCTGACCCCACATCCAACCACCTTTGACTCTCCATCCTGAGTGACCCATTTACAGGAAAAGGTAAACTTGGAAAGGCCTTCAGCATCACATCTGGTTAACTGTGAGAGAATTTAGATACTCTGCCACTGTCCCCTCAGGTAAGTGATAAGAGCCCTTATAAAAATGTGCAAAAATCAGAGGTACCGTTCAGAACACTGCAGTTGAGCTCCACCGCTTAGTTCATATTAGATCTGCTGCACATTCTTGCAATAAGTGTGCCTATAAAGCAAGCATGGGTGCTAGTACTCTATGCTTTCTTAGAGAAAAATCAAGTCCTCAGTGCAAAGAGATTTTGTGTTAGTAGCATAACAAGTTCCTACAACTATAACACACAAAGGCTGTTGTGTAGACGGAATGAGAGGCATGTATGCATAACACTTTAAAGCGGGCTAAATGCTTTTGCACCACTTTAATGGCATCGGTGTTTGCATGCCTCGGTGGCATATTGCGCATTAATTCCAGCCGCTCTAGGAAATTTGGTGGCGTAATGCACCTTAAATGACTTGGGACGAAGCAAACTAAAACTCCTTCAAGGAGTTTTAGTTTGTTGCCCGTACAGCCATGGAGTGAAGCACTGGGCTCCGTGCAGCTTGGGGGCTTTGTAGGAAGCCCTGCAGGCAGCCTGGCAGCAGCCCAGCAGCAGCCCAGGAAAGAAGGCTCCGCCCAAGAAAAGCAGTGAGCCTGATCCCCTCCCCCACCGTAGCCTGTTTGAGCTGCATGGGGGCCCAGTGCTTCCCTCCATCCTTCCCTATAAATATTAGTGGTGCCCCCCCTGGGACCACCCAAGCAGGGTGCCTGTAGGTGGGTGCCTCCTGGGGGGTGGGGGGAAGGAGGGCTGCCACTGCTGTGGTCGGAAGCCTAGGTTCCCCCCCGCAACCTGCTCCACCCACCAGCAGCTCACCCTCCACTCCCTGCCAGAGAAGCAGGTAAGACAGCAGGGTGTGTGCATGACATGGGAGTTTAATCAGCTTTATTGAAGCAATGTTTTTTCTTAAAACCCACCACTTCAATTTAGGGCCCCCATTTCACCTACACATACCAAAAGACTACAAGATGCCCAGCAGTACTACTGTTATTGAGATTTGTTCTTCCCCCCAACCCACCATTCACATTTAAATATAAATGAAACCAGAACTAACATGCAAGAGAGAAAGAAAAGAAGCGACTCTAAATTGCTAAGGTTAAAGTAATATACAAATCAGACAGACTGAATTTACCTGAATCCAAAATGACTTTGAATTAAAAACAACTCCCCAATAATTAAATTCTGTACATGTAAAATTATCAATGTGCTGCCCACACCCAGACTTGCACCACCACCCATTCCCAACCTCATACCACAGTCTGTCCCTTGACCAGTACCACTGGCCCTGGACCCAGACCCACCATAGCTGCTACTGACTCCATGGTTGCTAACTCCAGACAGCAGTGGCAACAGTAGCTCTGGCCCAGAGCAAAAGGTGGCTCCAGCTTCAACTCTGGCTCTGGCCTCAGGTCCAGGTTGGAGACAGAGCAGCTACCTGCCTGAGCTGGCACTCAAATCCAAGACAAAGTTTTTTTTTTTCCTTTATCAGCATGAGGGTAAAGGGGAAGTCCTGTCTTGGATCTGAGTAAATATGGTAGTTAATTTCCCAAGTAAATGTACCAAAGTAAGATCTACACCAGGGCGAGCAATTATTTTGGGCGGAGGGCCACTTACTGAGTTTTGGCAAGCCATCGAGGGCTGCATGGCAGGAAGCTGGGGGCAGATAAATATTAGTTTTTGAAAAATTTTTAGGGGCCCCACGGGCCAGATAGAATGGCCTGGTGGGCTGCATCTGGCCTGCGGGCCGCATTTTGCCCACCCCCTGATCTACACATTATATCAAGCAGTCTTGGGTTTGTAAAGGTAAATGTTGTATATCAATATTCCCATTCATCCATCTTCTTGTCTTCCAAATTGACTAAATAATACTTCTTTTCTGGTGAGTCAAAATATTGGACCTTCAAAGTTAATATTTCAAATTCATAAGTCTTCCCTTCAAGCTGTCATTCTGCTAACTTAAATAGAAACTCCTCACAAGCTGACAAGCTGTTCCTAATTGCCTTAGACACCATTCAGATACTGATTTAGTTTTAAATATTTTGTCCCCAGCTTATTTTGAACTCTGTTACAAAGATAGATTTTAGGTACAGAGTAAGTTCATGACTCTCATGAGCCAAAGTTTTTGTCATTCTGGTATTGTTCCTCTGGAAAAAGATATACCAGTTCTTAAGAGGAGTTAATTTAGAAACAGTACCAATCACAGTATGCATAGGAATTTAAGAACAGAATCTGAAGAATAAGTATTTTAAGGAATGCAGTCCTAAATATAATAGAGCTAGTGCGTCTTTAGAGTTCCAAACCTGATATTAATAAGATTTACGAAAAATAATATTATAGAGGGGAAAAAAAAGCTAGTTACTAGCAACATAGTTCCTGCCTACCTGGGGCTGGGTCCATGGTTCCAGGCTTGTTTCTTTTAAAGGAGTTTGTGGTCTTCCTACTTTTTTTGTGTGCTTTTGGAGGGACGGAAAAAAAAAAAAGTGTGTCAGATTATCTGCTCAGTAAACATATTGACATTTAATATTTATATTCTTAAAGGTAAAAATAACTATACATATATATACACTTGAGACAATTGACTGATAACAAATCAGAACTACTCATTCTTCCAGAAAATATTAGGAATATCTTTTATAATTCATTTAACAAACCTCTTTAACAGCCTGACAACAATGAACAATGAGACAACATTAACTAGTTTGCTGGACAACTACCCTTGTTCAAGCCTTTTTATTGTGTTTGAAACTCTCCACTTGATGATACCATAAGCTATAAAGGAAAAATGCTTGATCTTCTAAAGCAATTTTTATCTGTGCAACTCTGTATTTACAGATGGGAAAACTGAGGCAAAGAGGCATAGAAAATTGTGCAACACCACTGCAGAGACACAATTTGTAACAGAATCCAGATGCGCTTGACTTTAAATCCCATGTCCACACTAGAGCATGCAGTCTATGATGCATGTTCTGGCAATCCAGGACATATAATGACTACATGGCAGGTGCAAAAGTTTAAGTGTGATGCTTTAAAAATCTCAAACCCAAAAGGAAAAAAAAGTGTTTTTAAATATCATCTTATTGAGGTTTCTTTCATGCTTTTAGCTGATAGAGTTTGATTTTCTTTTAAGCTCTTTACAACAGGAGCATGGAAGGATGTGCAGTCTAATAACTCATTGACCTTTAAACTCAGAAAATTCTGAAGCAGTGAAAAGACTGACCCAAAATCAAAAGTCTGTTAATCAAATGACTTTAAGGAGTCCTTAAAGAATTATATTTGTGGACTCAAGTTAAATTCCCCAGTGTTATCCAAACCACCTTGCAAACTTGCTAATGTGCATAATTACTCAACTCTGCTGATAAATGCTTAAGATTTTATGAGTATAGGGACTGAGGTACCATTATAGACACCAGAGTGTTATTGCTAAGTTTTTGTGTGAATGTATTATGCCTACCCACATATACTTGGTCTTAAGATAAATAGCATACACCATGGTTTTCATAACACTAACATGTCACTACCTATAACATAACATGGTCACTACCTATTTTGAGCAGCTTCTTGCTTTATACTACAGAACATTAGGTTTGGCAAATTATAAGACATCATCCGACTTCCTGAAGGGCACTTAGCACTTTTTCAATAAAAGTAGAAGAGCCAAGGTGAATGTTGGCTAGAAGCATTACATGAAAAAATAAATATATCTATCCACATACAGTAACTGATATACCAATAATAATTGATAAAAGTATCCCAGGGGTATGCTATTACAACATGAAAAGTAATACACACTTCATTAACAGCAGTTCTATCAATAAATGTTGTGCGTTTTCTCTTTTTACGTTCCTCTGTACAACTGTCCTCGAGCAGGGAATTCTGTTTACTCATTGTAATGTTGTTCAAGACAGAGATCAAATTCAGCAGTACTGCAATGGCAGTGATGGTTCATAAATTAACCACAGACTATGCACAGAAGGAAACTGAACTTGATCTGGGAGTGCAAGCAAAAGATTAGGACTCAAGAACCATGACTTCCAAACCAAAATCTTTTGCTCTTGTTACCTCCTTGGAGCCTTGGGGATTACATTTGTTACCGTGAAGCTCACTGAGAAGCTCACTATGAAGCTCATGAATGCGGCGCAGTTTATTATTATATCCATCTTTTGGGAACCTCTGAAAGGTAATGTAATCTGACAGCTTTGTTTATTTATTTTTTGTTTAGACTTATATCCCATCCTATCCAAAAGGCTCAGGCATATCACATAAAGGGAGAGCCTACTGACATATTATAATATACCATAATATTGTCTTCTCCGAGTACTTCAGATCATGGTGATGAATGAGATTCTGATATATCAGGGTTTTATTTTTTCACTCTGTCTAGACAAGAAGACAACTGGTTATTTAATGGGGTAGTGTCAGACAATATGAAATGATGATTCCACACATTTAATATGGAAATTGTGTTTTCATGACATTCCCAGGTAAACTAGCTATGTAACCAGTCTGCACCAAATTTCTTGTCACCATAGACACTACAAACTGTACCCAAACTGGTTAGTTTATGGCTAACCATACATACCCAGAAACTGTTACATGTCATATTAATGTTTATGTTATTTATTTAGCTAGACATTCCTTGTTTGTCAAACTGGCTGGTCTGTCTGATGCCTTTCAGATTCTTAGTCTGACTATGACCCTGTTCTTGCAAAGGAGAAAATAATGGGTTTTTTAAATCATAAGGAAGAAAAGGGTCTCTTACATGCCAATGGCAAGGAGTCACAGAAAAAGCAGCTTCCCTCCCACACAGATCAAGGAACTTTTTTTAAATAAGTATCATTCCCTAACAGCCTGATTCCCCCCAGTGTCTCCCAATTTCTTTTTACCAAGCTTCTGGCAAACTGATTTAAAGAAACAGGATAAATTCCTCCTCAGAGTCCTTTGTTTATTCTCCCTCTACTCCCTTCCTCTGACATTTAAGCTTAATACACAGAAGAAAATTATCTTCATAATGAGATGAAGATACAAGGATTGATTTCATTCTGAATGTTACATTATCATTTCATCGGCACAGTTTAGAGCTCCCTGAGCTCCTATACATGCACCAATTACAATTTCTTTGACAGCCAAGCATGTTTTTAGCATACATTAGTTTCACTGCATGTGTAAAAGAATGCTAGAAACTTCATAGAGATACTTTCTTAAGTATCCAACTATCACCTGAGCTGATTCAGCTTGTACCCTCAGGTGGCATTCTGTACAATACACTGCCAGGGCACCAAACCCAAGAACTGCAATCTCTCCTACACAGCAACAAACAGCAGCAGCCAGAAGAGGTCAGCCAGCTTGTAGAGGTCAGACTGAAGAAGTCTTTAGGCCAGAACAGAGACACAGGCTGAAGGAGTTCTCACCTGAACACAAAAAGGCCTGACTGGCACCAGGCAACCTCTTCTTTATTCTTTCTGAACAACACACAAAAAATTGCAAGGGCAGACTGTGAACACCAGAAGCCAAAAGGGACCTTCTTCAAGGCAAGCAGCTACAGTCAAGCCTAATCACATTTTAATCACTCCCAGCTGATTCTGTGGTCAGAGATCCACACTCTCTCTCTCTCTCCATACAAAGAGTAGCAGCAGATATGGCAAACCTTCCCACTTCCTATCATTAACCCCTTGACCCTTAAACCAGTGCTCTCCTCTGTAGCAGTACAGACTACTGGTTTCTTCATCCTGCTTCTCTCCCACTAGCACATCTCTTCAACAGCAGTTTCATTCTTAATCATTCCTCCCCTTCCCTGCTCTAAGCCCAGCTAGAGTCTGCAACTTGGCTCACTTGTACTAATAAAATACAACAAATAACAAACAATTTAGAAATAGCAAACAAGCAGGCTGTACCTGTGCCCTTGACCTGGGGACTGTCTCAGTGCTCCTTTTGTCTGGGTTTTGGCGGGGGGGGGGGGGGGGGGATTTTTTTCTCACA